TAATTGAAGTTACATATTACATAGAAAAGAAATAGTTGGATGTTAAACATAAAAAATTCAGTGCATGACACATCAACAGACACATAGGAGAAAAACGAATTTTAGGGGATAGCAGTCATAGTGAGGACGACAAACAGGCTAGGAAGTTGTAAAGGGTTATCAATAAGAATCAATGAAACATACTCTCATTTTTCCAAAAGCAAGAAAATTAAAAAGCATAATTTGAACATGTCAATGAATATCAGTTTTAAAGATTATAAGACAAATTGTGAAGGGACTCATATTTAGTGGCAATGTATAACACCTTCGTCATGGAAAGGTTTGGATGGTTTATACATCTTTCCATTGGGTTCCAAGTGGTTCTAATAAGCAGATTATTTATATTTGCCATTATGTACACGATAACAAATCTTAAGAATTACTTATAAGAGAGAAAGAAAACTTTAAACACCAAGTTTTTGAAACAAGTTAGGCCACTTGAAACCCAATGGAAAGATGTATAAAACATCCAAACCTGTCCGAGACGAAGGTGTTATACATTGTGACTAAATATGAGTCCCTTCACAATTTGTCTTATACTCTTTAAAACTAATATTCATTGACGTGTTCAAATTATGCTTTTTAATGTTCTTGCTTTTCCAAGTACTTTGAAGCACTAGATGTAGTGAAACTTTCAAGATGAACAACAGTAACAAATTCATTACGAGGACTACGTCCAGCATAAATAGAAGCAACATCGATAGGTAGAGCCTGAAACAAGATTTCAAGAATAATAAAAAACTCATGCTAAAGATTCTTGTTCAAAGAAAAACAGGAAGAATTTGGATTCTTAATATCTAATTTTCAATTTGTATTCTTTCAAAAATGTTTGTCTGTTGTCTATCTCAACTGACAAGATAAATAATGATGAAGCAATTAGATTCCAATTCCAATATAAACACACCATAAAATAGGACTAACCCCATCAATCTCCAACTCTTTACAGTGCTTTGCACTCAACAAGTCGATAACTGCTCTGGTTTTTTGACGTCCCTTCTCAAGTTGCTACCCCCAACTATTATGATCGACTAGACACTGAAATTTCCTCAAGATTCAGCACATGATTCAAGATTGAACAAAAAGAAACAACAGTTGAGAGATAAATTACATTTTAAAAGAAGCAGAGTTATAGACGCATTGAAATATGATGTGAAGAGGCAGACATTTCCAGAATCAATCACACAAACTGTCACTAACAGAGAACTTTGATTATCTAAACTAACATTTTCATCATTTACAAAGAGCAAAAAGCCATTACCATTACCATCTGCTACATTTATTCGGCTGCCAAATTCAAAGCAGAATATATAGAATGAGGAGAAATGTTTCAGGCATTAGGGAGTAAGGAAATACTAGTCATGTTGCATAGATATTGTTCTTATATACTCTCACATATGCTCTCTCACTAATTTTTTCTTTTTCTGCCCATGTGTCCATGATACTCCTCACTTTTTTATAATTGTAAATTTATTATGACATCATACTCTCACAATGACAAGCTATTATACACTAACCTGGTGGGAGTAATTTATCTTAGCCAACACAATAAGCATAACACCTTTGATAACATGACAGAAGAACTGATACATAACAACAGACAATTGAAAAATTATATATATATCCAAATATTTCCAAGATTAAAGTAATATGAGGAAAAAAGGACTGAAGGTCAAAATGAAAAATAGAATAAAAGCAAATATAAAGAGAATTCATCTAGAAAACTCAACTCAATTTAAATGATTTGCTTTTAGAAACTAAAATAAATGATAAAAAAAGAGAGGCAATTTACCACTTAGGCATGAGCTGGGAATTTTGACACCATAGACGCAGCTACCAAATCCCAGAAGAAAATTGTGCCATCCTTAGATCCACCAGTAACATGGGCATTCATGTTGGTATGGCAAGAATCCATTTTGAATAACTATTATGAAGAAAAATTGAAAAAGAAAAAGACGAAAGTTATGGCAATGCATGAATGAAGGGGAGTGAAAACCTAAACACTCTGCAAATTTACGATGGAGATATTTAATACAGAACAGGTAGGAAATAGTCTAAAACTTAAAGAAAAGCAAGAATTAATCAATTGAAATTTAAATGAATGAATTGACTAAGATTGCAAATAAAAATTGTCATGGATAAATAATTGCCACTCAAAAAATTTCCATTACATCAATGGAAATTATAGAGTCCATATAAGGCATCTGCATTCTAACCTTACAAGCGTGTCCTTTGTATTCTTGCAACAGTTCACCTGTACACCTAGCATGCAAAAGACCCAAGATAAAGGTTAGCAAAAGCCAGAAAAATAACCTACAGCAAGAGTCCACACAAGTACATGACAATACCAGTCCAAAAGGCGCATAGTAGAATCTAAGCAACTGGCCAATATACAGTTGCCATCATTTGACATTCACATACAATTGACAGGTTGCCCTAAGTCCTTAGATGTTTCTCTATACATACAAAGAAGAAAACATCATTATCAAAAGTTTCCAAAATGATTACAATCAGAATACAGATATTTATTTACATTACAGGGGAAAAGGTACTAATTATCTTTTGGCTACATACCTAGCCATACGAATGTCAAAGGTTCAGATAGTTCCATCAACACTCCCACCAATAATTTCAGTCTTTGTCAAACATACAAACATCATAGTGTCCAAAAATGTATCGATTATCTGTATACCATCAAGAACTTTAGAAATGGTACATTGATAGTTCAAACTAAAATGAATCCATTTAACATGATAAAATTCTTGAAATGATAAAGGGTTAAACATGGATGGGCTTAGTGCTATGACACCTGCACTCCCAAGCACGTAATGAATGATCATAGCCAACAGATACAACTATAGAAGCATACTCATTAAACTTAACAGCATTAACCTAAAAGGGGTAACAGTATCGGGCAAAAGAACAACTATAAAATTTAAATCTCACCAAATTAACACATCAATTCACAACTCCAGAACCTAAATTCAAGTTACTAAGAAACAAACCTCGCTATCATGGCCATGGAACTTGCAAATAACATGACCAGTTGCTACGTCCAATATCATTTGCGAAACCAAGATCTTAAATTTTTTTTTTTTCCATCTTAACTGTCTAACCATGCTTGCATGTTCATCTCTGCTGTCTTAACCATTTATGCCTAATTCAACCCTGCTTTTAGGACTCTGTTATCCTCACTAGGATACCAGGAGATGCAAATGACATTTACTTGATTTCAGTAAGAATATACTACATAAATCTTTCAAGCTAAATTGATGTACAATAACTCTTAATTGTGACCATCCTAACCTCAAACAGTTAATGATCATAAAAACTACCGTAATTAACATGAATTAACCTCTTGCTAGATAACAGCTCACTTTTTCTCCATTCGACCTGCTGCTACCTCCCTTCTCTGTCCAACGAACTCACCACATTGCACTCGCCTTCCTCCCTCTTTCTTATTCCTAGCTCCTTTTGCCCAAAATCTATTATAATCACAATAGAACGATTTTCAATTTCCATCTGACTTTGCTTTAACTACATGATAACAGACCAAAAAAAAAAAAAAGTACCATCATTTGAACACAACCACCCTTCTGCGTCTCAATTGAGGGTCCTCCTAATCATGGCCACGGGATTGGATTCCATCCACACAGATTCCAAACCTAATTTTGCGAGTCTTCTTCATAGGTGCATCTTCTTGCTCTCTGCTATAAGTTTCGACACAACCTGAATGTTCTCCCTCGATTTCCTTCGTGAACCAACCTAAATCTTCTCCACTGATTTCCTTCGCGATCACCATGACGACTACATTTCTATGAGAGTCATAGATGGGTAACCCTGGGTCAAGACTGGAGTGCTAGATCTCAAGGAGTATCTGTGTAGTTTCCAATGGGTGATTTCAAATAAGTTGGGAATAAGCTTGTGGTAAGATTATCTCATCTTCCTATTTGAACTGACCGTGTGTGTGAAGATGGGTGTTGAGTCGAAGTGTGTGCGTATCACGATCCATAATCAAACATAGATTTACCTCCACTTTTTCCACTGGCTTCCTCTTTTATCACCCCACATAAGTCCCAGTGAGTCCCTATCTCTTGCAACCCCCCTCAACATCTCAGGTATGATCATCTCCCCCTAAATATGAATCCAAAAAAAAAAATGAAAATAAATTAAAAGAAGCCAAAATAAACAATAAAAAAGGGAAATTCAAGACCAAAAGGGAAGAAAATTAGAAGGAAAACACGAAGAAAAAGACTTGACCCTAAGGTTGGGTATTGAATAGTGATGAGCTGAAATTATATACATATTAATGTGAAATTGTTACCTTGATATTGTTGATATTTGGATCAGTTTTATGAGATTTTTATTTGATTTTACATAATTTCTATTCTTTGTGTAAGGAAGGACTTAATTGGAAGAAATCATAAGTTTTAGGAGCAAATTGCAGAGATCAAAAACTTGAGGATCAACTTATGCAGAATCTAGAAGTCAGGGACCAGGATTGTTCTTTTACCATTACAGAAATTGCTAAGAAGGACAAAAACCCGGCACGGTGAGGGCATCGTGCGCTTAACAGAAGTGTCGGTACCTTGTTGAAAGTGTTGACCCCTTACGTGATTTTCACCAAATCCATGTTTAATTAGGTGTTATGGGTGTGGGTCTCACTTCTATTCCAATTAGAGTTTTTAAAATCCTATAAATATCCATCCAAATTCAGAATAAGGGAGCTTGGTGGAGGCTGGTGGCAGCCCTCTTTTAGCCACTCTTGGAGTTCAAGATAAATGATCCATAAACAAAAAGATCAAGGATTTCAATTACCTCAAATTAAATTTTGTTTTTCCTTAGATATTCTTATATTCATAATTGTGATTTCAGATTTTATTATTTTTATTATGAACTGATTTATTCTACTAGGCTACGATGTAACTCAATCAATTCAATATAGATTTTATGATTTTATGCTTTCAATTAAGGAATTTATATTATTGAACTTAACGCATTGGAAGTCTGATCATCTTTCAATTGGTTTAGTTATTTATGCATGAACTTGAGAAAGAATTGCGTAGATTAGACCAATAATAATATAAACCGTGTGTTAGATTATGAGACTGAGAGGTAATTAGCTCATATGTGGTAGTGGAGGAAGAGAAGAGAGTTAGGAGTTCCCCCTTCTTAAACTAGAGGTTTCTATAGAATTTAATGCTCATCAGTTTGTTTAAAATTATATAGAGATATGATTAATTTAACAAATCAATGAAGGATTAACTTGACTTGAGAAAACTAGTTAATTAACTTAGGGAAATCCGCCATCACATGCAATAATACTCAATAAATTGGTTTTGAAAATATATTAATCCAGAATTTATATTGATTGATTATGGTGAAATTAATGTCTTAGTACCTCCTATCTTGATTAGGTTTATTTGTTATTTTTTTCTATTATTTTTAATTAAAGTTTCTTCCTATTTGATTGTTCAAATAAATTTAGATTAATTATTTTGATACTTAATTAGACATAATCCTCATGGGTTCGACACTCTTTTATCATTATATTACTTGAAGTGATTAGTCCACTTGTTAAGATGATTTTAGTGTATCAAATAGAATAGAAAGGAACCACTAAGAAGGAGTTTTGGAGTGATGCGGGATGGGAGGAACATTAGGAAACTCCAGATGGCAAGGATTGAGCTAACAAGGATTCCACTACAACATCGAGGAGATTATAATCTTCCTCTTACGACTTTCCCTTCCTCTTTCTCTCCTATCCCCTTGGATCCCATCACACCAAAGGCCTCAGCAAAAGTCCCTTCCTCTTCCACTTCCTCTTCCATCCCCTCGCTCCTATCGCACTGAATGGCTCAGCAATAAACGCGGGGAATTAATCAAATTGTCAAAGTGCTGTGGTCAAAAAAAGCGGACTTGTTTTATCCAAAAACCAGGGGTAGAAAGCAAAATATCATGAAATGGCATTAATGGTCATAGGCAATGTTATTGATACTGTACCGTACCAATCGGTATAAGAAAATGAGTGATAGAAATCAACTCAAATTAAAAAAG